ATACAAAATACCAAAGGTATAATGCATAAAATAGTTTATAAACTGAGCTTCATTACAATCAAAAACTTCTGCTCTGTAAAAGCAGCAACAAGAGAATGAGAAGACAAGACACAGATTGGGAGAAAATATTTGCAAATACCACATCTGATAAAAGACCTCTATCCAAAATGTACAAAAAAACTCTTAAAATTTAACAATAAGAAAAAAGAAAAAAAACAGGCCAAAGATCTGAAGAGATTCTTCACCTAAGAAGATATATGAGACACATGAGACATCATATGTCACTAGGGAAATGCAAATTAAAACAATGAGATAGCACTACACACCTGTTAGAATGGCCAAAATTAGAAATACTGACACCACCAAATGCTAATGAGAAGGGGAACAACAAGAATTCTCACTTATTGCTGTTGTGAATGCAAAATGGTACAGCCATACTGAAGAGCAGTTTCTTACAAAACTAAACATACTCTATCAAACAATTCAGCAGTTGCACTTCTTGGTATTTACCCAAAGGGGATGAAAACATGTCTACACAAAAACTTGCACACAGATATTTATAATTGTTTAATTCATAACTGACAAGATTTGGAAGTAATCAAGGAATCCATCAGTAGGTAAGTAGATAAAATAAATTGTGGTACATCCAGACAATGAATATTATTCAGCATTCAAAAGAAATGATCTATCAAGCCATTAAAAGACAGGGAGGAACCTTAAATGCATATTTTATATGAAAAAGCCAATCTAAAAAGGCTACATGGTCTGTGATTGCAACTATATGACATTCTTGAAAAGGCAAAATTACTGATACAGAAAAATTCTAGTGGTTTCCAGGGGCTACGGGTAAGGGAAGGATGACTAGGTAGAGTGCAGAGGACTTTTAGGGCACTGAAACTATTCTGTTTGATACTACAATGGTAGATATATGTCTTTATACATTTTGTAAAAACTCTAGTCTGTACTACACCAAGAGCGAACTCTAACGTAAGCTGTGAACTTTGGGTGATAATGACAAATCAACGTAAGTTCATTAATTATAACAAATGTACCACTGTAGTGTGGGATGACCATCTTGAAAGAGGGTGCGAATGTGTGAAATGTGTGGGGATACGAGATATATGGAAACTATCTTTACTTTCCATTCAATTTTCCTGTGAACATAAAACTTCTCTATAAAATGAGGTTCATTAAAACAAACAAAAATACATCAGAACCTCTGAATCTGCATGATTTTAAGGATAGTCTCCAAACTTTTTAGCATTGCATGTAAGATTTCTCATACACTTGACTCTGCCTCACCATGTTAATTTTCTGCACTCATACTTGTTACACATACAGACACAAGCACGCACACACACCCTTACCCCCACCTCTCTAATCATTCAGAACTTCTTGTTCATTAAAGCAAAGGTTTCAGGCTCATTTCTGAATGGAAAGACTTTATGCTCTTATTTGTCTAATTCCTGCTTGTCTTTTCAGCCTTATTTCTCCAGGAGGCTGTTCTTAATTTTCCTCCATTTTATTTAGGTGTTTCTGATTGCAGCCAATATGTCCCTTCTTTTATCACAGAACATGTCATATTATTCTATAATTGTTTATATGTGAGTGACTGAATCCTTCAGTAGACTATGAGTTCCTTGAAGTAGAACCTGTGGTGTTTTAGCATAGTTCTGTGTCCATAATAAGCATTCTAGACAAATTTGTTGGCTAAGATGATGGGGGTGGGGAGGATAGAGCTTGGATACTAGAGCATTCCTAGACCTGAAAACCATCTATGGCAAACTGCTCTTCAGGGAAGTTGTACAGTTGCTGGAAGCATTTCACATCTTTAGTGGATAGGGCCAACTTCATTCCCTGGTGATATCAGTACGGCATCTTTCACCAGCCTGAAAATCCTCTGGCACTGAAAACACATAGTCTGGAAGCTGTTTGTGAGACTGAGAAGGTGAGTCAATAGATACTGTTCCAAGTTGGCAAGAAGGGACATAGTTCTAAACATCTAAAACTCCTTAATTCACATTGAGCTTCTCATTAATTTAAATGTTAATGTAAATTTAAAACATGTTGTATTGATTCGGAACTATTTTTGTATGAATATTGCATAAGTAAACTCTAACAGTAGAATCCAAATGGGCATTCCTTCACATCAATTTAAGATTAAGAAAACGAGTGAGTCATTCTCTTTTTCTCTCTTTTTTAATCATGGAAAATCGTTTGTTCGAGTTATAAGCTCACTATGAGAAATTAAAAAGCTAGCTCTGAGAAACTTTGAGACTTTTGCCTATGAGTGCAATCAATTTCTACAGTGCTGTGTAAAAACATCAATTCCTGAATCTATGCTTTCAAAGTATTGCATATGTAACTTCAAATATGTATAAAAACTAGTCTTTCCCATTTCACTGGTGAGAAACCTGTAGTCTTTGTGACCATGTTTGCAATTTTTAGCCTATTTTATTAGTTCTTTAGCCAAAATCTCTTTTCATTAGGATTCATCTTTCCTTATTTAAAAGGAAAACATAGCTGTTAAAGGATGTCTCATATGTTAGACTCACATAAAAGAAATGATGGTGATGAGGATGATACCTGGAAATATTTGTATATGCCTACTTACTATGTAACCCTGATGCAAAGTCTTCTATTAAATTAGGTTGATTCTGCTAATCCCCAAAGCAGAAGGTAAAGGGGCTGCTCTGATTACCCTGTTTTACAGGTTAGGAAACTGTCCCATGGAGAGATCAAGCCACTTTCCTTAAGTTCCACAACGAAAAGTCTTGTTTCTGGCCCTAGGACTCAGGCTTGTCTGACCCCCAGGTCTTTTTCATAACCATTGTGCTCTCTGGGCCTCAGACCACATAGTGTAACTGCCATGGTGCAAAGCTAGAGTAGTGAATTTCTTTATGCCTATAAACGTAAACTTGATGATTTGATGCTACTGTTGAGAAATTGGGTGGGTGGATGAAATCCAGAAACCTGGCCCCTAGTTTGTGAACACCTTGTACCTTATTTCTTTCATCTACGAACTGTGAAATGTGAACTAATTGATTAGTGAGGCCCCTTCCAGCCCCACATTCTAGGAATCTGTATAATCATATGATTCATCTTGTTCTGATCAGCAAACGCTCTGCCTAGTCCTCTTCACCTCCACCCACCACGCTTCTTCTCCTGGAAGCCTCCGCCTCTGCAGGTAGCCCTGCCCAGCTCAGTTCACTGCTAACATGCATACCAAGTAAGCATCCTGCTAGTAACACATTTCTATGAAATATGCTAAATACCAGGCAGAAAACACAAGCCAGAAGATGAAGAAAGCAACATTTTGTTCCCCTAAACATAGAAATGAAATACCAAAATCATAGTCCCAGAGAGAATTCAGACAAGGCCCTCATATATCAAAAGCTGAATATTCACCATGCATTGAGAAGCTCCAGTACATACAGGCCTGAGAGAACTTACTGACATTGAGTATTTACTGGCCTTGGTGTAGCCAAAAAGCTTGGTAGTGCCAGGATAGAGAGAACAGTAAGAGGGTGTATAAGCTCTGGGATCAGACAGACCTGACACTTATTATCTCTTTCTGGGCTATTGAGTCATGCCTCAGTTTCTTCACCTATAAAATTAGAACTATAATTCAAAATTTTCATAGGGTAGTTAGGAGGCTTAATCTATAAAATAATATAGACAGTTTATCCCAGAGACAGACATATAGTACAGGCTTAACATAGTCTCCATAATTATATTATCAACAACAAAATATCTCATGTGTTAGTTTTACAATTATCTTTGTGAATAATAATTCCAGCTATCACTCAGATCTCAATTTAGGAATTATTGCTTTTGCAACACAATGATGTATACAATACCATATGTATATATTTCACCCAGTAATATCCTCCCCACCTTGGAAGATACCTGAGGGGAAGAAAAAGTTATGATATAAAGCCAAATTCTGTGAGCTCTCTTACAAGTTGCCCACAATGTCCCTAGTTCTTTCAGAGTTCCAACTGCCTTCCCTCAACATGGGGATAGAAGGATGAAAATATATCTGAACCTCTGGCCATCAGGCTTCAAAGGATTATGGACCCTATGAGTTAAAAATCAAATTTTATTAGGTTCCATGAGATACACAATTGAGTTTTTTCAAATCAACAGGTGAACTTGAAAATAACCTTAGTGTCATTTATCTACAAGTAACTAATTTCCCAGAAGACATAGAAGCTAGTAACTGGGAACATATAGTAAATTTATAAAAAGTTAGGCTTCCTCTAAACATAAGAGTTTTGCTATCACAAATTCTCACTGAACATTTTACCTATGTCTAACTACATCCTTGGAAGGAAAATTGTCACAGAATTTGAAAGATGGAAGGGGCCTTAGGGGAAACTTTATACAAGGACCCTAATTTTGTATGTGAGGAGATTAAGACTCAGTGAAACTTGAATACTTGCCCAAAATTGCCTGGCTAATTATAGTAAGGTTATGACTTGAATTCAGTTCTGATTCTCAGTCCAATACCAGTGTTTACTTATTTTCTTGTCATTATATTATACTAAGACACCTTTAAACTGAGTGTATATTTTCTAGTTTTTAATGTCCTTTTGGCTATGAGGATTGAAATACACTGATAACTATCTATTGTTTTGAGCTAATGACAGAGGGATGAGGTAAGAGCAAAAAATCTCACAAATGTGTGTTCAGAAAGCTATTTATAGTTAAAGTGTTCTGTGACACATTTCAGTACTACAATGCAATGGACATTGAAATAAAGAAAATGAACATATATCTATATTTATATTCAATGAGTATCTATACATCTATGCCCATGTGTACTGTTATGGCTACCTAACTATCCATCTATCTATATTAGAAAGATGAATATTGCATCATTTCAAATGACTAGATTCTATTGGGAAAGTGTGGCAGGCAGAAGTTTTTAAGCCTAAATTTGTCCTTATTTGTATAATATGGTTTAAAGATATGGTATTTGTGTTGTCTTACTCCAGGTATAAAGGGAGCATCATCTTCAGAAACCCAGAGGCTTCCTTGACTTCTCTGGGTTTTCTCAGGAAGATCAGGATCTATTAGAGAGATTTTGATAAGGTAAGTTCAAATCACCACTAATCTTCTCTGTTGGGGCTTCCATTTCAGCTGCCCAGGATCAGAACAATGGGAGTTCAGGAAGTCAAAAGAACAGACAACAGGAAAGACAGACATCACTTGTATTACTGATGCAGTTAATACTGGAGAATGTTGTTTCACTGTATGGAAAAAAAAAAAAGGCTTTCTAACCTTTAACTCCAGCATAGACAGATGTACCCATCTTTTCCCAGGATGTGCTGGGTCACCACATCCTCCCCAAACATGGCAACCTGCATTATAACATTGCTGGGGAGAGAGGTGGTTTCAAATGCATGTGTAAGCAGCCTGCTCTAAAAAGGGGTTATGCTATAACGGATAAAGTCTTGCTCCCACATTCACCAACATAATAGCGACTAATGACCAAGGAGGAGATAGAGTGAAGGGAGTAAAAAGAGTCCCAGAGAGCTAATATAATATCACATGGGGAAAAAAATTGAAACAGGGAGTAAGTATTCTTCCTTAACACCACAGAAGAATAAGCGTGATCTGCCAATAAGTAAAAGAGCTCTTTCAAAGCTGCACCAGGATTTTCTTAACCTAGTAGCTCTCTTAGAGAATTCCTCCTGTGTGACCGAGGCAGGTGCAGCAGCACTGTGATTTCTCCTGCTTTAAGAAACAAGCCAGATTCTAGGCAGAATTTTTGCCAACTGCCTGTTAGAAGTTGTATATCTTCAGAATCACAATAAGAATGTTGTCAGTATTGTCATAGAGCAGATGACTATGGTAGATTTCTGACATTTGTAGTTTTAGCAGTTTTAAAAAATCCAATTAGATATATTAATACTTTTAAATTATTCTACAAAGAGGATATGGAGGGAACAGTTTATTTAGGTAGGTAGTGAGCTTAGCTAACTCCTCAGTGTATTTGTCTTAATGGAAATTGGTAATTGTAATTTAATAAATCATCTATATCACTCAGACTTATTTGCTAGTAAAAATAAAACCTAGGAAAGGGAGCTTACTGAAAGTATAGAAAAGGAATCAAAGGCTTGAAGAAAAGAAAAATAATAGTCTCCTTACAGGACTTTGAGCCAAACCAAGCATCTGTAGATGGTCTTCAAAGCAGCACATGCTTAATATGTTCAACTGCATGGTACCTGTAGAATGAATGACACCTGTTTCTTATTTTTGCATCTTACTCTGAGATTCAAGATCATGCAAAAAAGTTTGATTTGTTATGGTCATTTAATTTGGTCAAATTTTGGTGATTTGCCTTCCCTTTGATTATACTAAAGTAGCAAAGAAAAAATATAATAATTTGGACAATTTTGTCCTCTATGATAGAAGGGCAGTCATCTGGCTTTACTACTCCACTGTAAATACATATCATGTGGAAGAATTAATCATCAAAAATGAGATGGGTCTGTCATCAGGAAAGAGGGTTCTATATTTGACATTATTTAACATTCACTGCCTTGTGGAATAGATGGTATATCACGTATTAGTATGAGTAATACACAAAAGTGTATGGACTACAGTGACATTTAGAAAGTTGATTATTAGCAAAGGTCCCTTGGAAATATCTTTGAAGAATGTCAAGAGACTACTCAATTGATCAACCTTTTAAATTTAACACTAAAAATGTATACTTCTGCAAGTTACTATGTAAGCTTGAAGGAATGATTAAATCTTTAATGGTCCTGATCCTATCTTGTGTTCACTTTGAGAGGAAGAGATGTTCTTTGTCACCAAACCTCTGCTTCTGCAGGGAATACAAACTTATGATACTGGGAGCCACGTTTCTACCAGCTATCCCATTCACATATGGAATCAGAACACTTTAGGTTTAAAATTCTCTACTAGCTACATGTAACCAAAAAACAGCACAATGTTGTGAGCTAGGTAATGAGTGTCTAAAATCATGCTTGAATTAATGAAACCGTGGAAGAGGAATGGGAAGGAAAATACAGTTGTTGAGTAGGTCGTGTCAGGAAGGGACATGTAGAGTAGACCAAAGACATTTCAGTGACCCAGGGTTTGGAGTCAGGAGGTATGACAACGACAAATGCTCACGTGAAGGAACATGCTAGGCATGTCTCTTTTCTTCCGTGAGGTGCACATTGTAGAGAAATGGAGCACATATGTAATTTGTTTTCAGTTCTAGAATTTGGAGCCATGGATTCCATTTAGCTAGGGTGCTAGTCTAGATACCCAGCTACAATTAGATGCTGGGGAAAGTAAAACCCATTCAGTAAAGGATAATCAACTAGCCCCCCAAAATGAAAACTATTATGCTGAAAGAGAGAAAAGGAATAGTAAGGAAATCCAAAGACTGAAACTTTCCCAAGGGAGCCAAACCTAAAATTCCTTCATACAACAAAGATCCTTAAAATAGGTATAAAGTGGCTCTAGATCAGTGAGCCTTCCTGCTCCAGGGAAAAAGCAATACAAATCCTAATTGAAGGCCCTAATTTAAGAGCTCTGAATTCCTCCAGAATAAGTTCAACCAAAGATATGCTCACTGTTCATATTTAGTAAATGCTCATTGGATAAATGATTGAATGGATAATTAAATTAATAACGAATGTGTATATATATACAAGACTATTTCCCAAAATATATGTTTTTAACCTTCTATTTCATAATCATTCAATGACAGTTTAGGCCCTTTTCCTCATATCCCCAAAGCTTTTGTTTTATTTATTTATTTTGGGGGGGTTTCTTTTATTTTTTTATTCTGGTATCAATATACACTTATAAGCAACACTGTGGTTACTAGATTCCCCCCATTATTAAGTCTCCACCACATACTCCCTTACAGTCACTGTCCATCAGCGTAATAAGATGCTATAGAGTCACTACTTGTCTTCTCTGCTATACTGCCTTCCTGTGTGCTAATCGTAATGCCTCTTTTTCCCCTTATCCCTCCCTTCTCACCCATACTCCCCAGGCCCTTTCCTTTTGTAGCTTTCAATCCATTCTTGGGTTCTGTGAGTCTGCTGCTGTTTTGCTCCTTCAGTTTCAGTTTTTTCTTTGTTCTTATACTCCACAGGCGAGTGAAGTCATTTAATACTTGTCTTTCTCTGCCTGGCTTATTTCACTGACCATAATACCCTCTAGCTTCATCCATGTTGCTGCAAATGGTAGGATTTGTTTTCTTCTTATGACTGATAATATTCCATTGTGTATATGTACCACATCTTCTTTAACCATTCATCTACTGTTGGAGACTTAGGTTGCTTCCATTTCTTGACTATTGTAAATAGTGCTGCAGTAAACATAGGGGTGCATATGTCTTCTTCAAACTGGGCTCCTGCATTCTTAGGGAAAATTCCTAGGAGTGGAATTCCTCGGTCAAATGGTATTTCTATTTTTAGTTTTTTGAGGAACCTCCATACTGCTTTCCACAATGGTTGAACTAATTTACATTCCCACTAGCAGTGTAGGAGGGTTCCCCTTTCTCCACAACCTCACCAACATTTGTTGTTTGTCTTTTGGATGGTGGCCATCCTAACGGGTGTGAGGTGATATCTCATTGTGGTTTTAATTTGCATTTCTCTGATGATTAGCTATGTGGAGCATCTTTTCATGTGCCTGTTGGCCAGCTGAGCTTTTTTTCTGGAGAAGTGTCTGTTCAGATCCTGTGCCCATTTTTTAATAGGGTTATTTGCTTTTTGTTTGTTGAGGTGCATGAGCTCTTTGTATATTTTGGATATGTCATTTATGAATATATTCTCCCATACTGTAGGATGCCTTTATGTTCTACTGATGGTGTCCTTTGCTGCACAGAAGCTTTTGAGTTTGATAAAGTCCCACTAGTTCATTTTTGCTTTTGTTTCCTTTGCCTGTGGAGATATATTCATGAAGAAGTTGCTCATGTTTATATTCAAGAGAGTTTTGCCTATTATTTGTTCTGAAAGTTTTATGGTTTTATGACTTATATTCAGGTCTTTGATACATGTCAAGTTTACTTTTCTGTATGGAGTTAGACAGTAATCCAGTTTCATTCTCTTATATGTAGCTGTCCAGTTTTGCCAACACCAGCTGTTGAACAGGCTGTCATTTCCCCATTGTATATCCATGGCTCCTTTACCATGTATTAATTGACCATATATGATTGGGTTAATATCTGCACTCTCTTTTCTATTCCAATGATCTGTGGGTCTTTTCTTGTGCCAGTACCAATTTGTCTAGATTACTGTGTCTTTGTAGTAGAGCTTGAAGTTGGGAAGCAAGATCTCCCCTGCCATACTCTTCCTTCCCAGGATTGCTTTGGCTATTCAGGGTCTTTTATGGTTCCATATGAATTTTAGAACTAGTTGTTCCAGTTTGTTGAAGAATTCTGTCAGTATTTTGATAGTGATTTCATTGAATCTGTAGATTGCTTTAGACAGCATGGACATTTTAACAATATTAATTCTTCTTACCCAAGAGCATGGGGATGAATTTCCATTTATTAGTGTCCTTTTTAATTTCTCTTAGGAGTGTCTTGCAGTTTTCAGGGTATAGGTCTTTCACTTCCTTGGTTAGGTTTATTCCTAGGTATTTTATTCTTTTTGATGCAATTGTGAATGGAATTGTTTTCCTGATTTCTCTTTCTGCTAGTTCATCATTAGTGTGTAGGAATGTAACATATTTCTGTGTATTAATTTTGTATCCTACAACTTTGCTGAATTCAGATATTAGTTCTAGTAGTTTTGGAGTGGATTCTTTAGGGTTTTTTATGTACAAATATCATGTCATCTGCAAACAGGGACAGTTTGACTTCTTCCTTACCAATCTGGATGCCTTTTATTTCCTTATGTTGTCTGATTGCTGTGGCTAGGACCTCCAGTACTATGTTGAATAAAAGTGAGGAAGTGGGCATCCTTGTCTTGTTCCTGATCTTAGAGGAAAAGCTTTCAGCTTCTCACTGTTAAGTATGATGTTGACTGTGGGTTTGTCATATATGGCCTTTATTATGTTGAGGTACTTGCTCTCTATACCCATTTTGTTGAGAGTTTTTATTATGAATGGATGTT